GGAGCCCTGATTCATCGCCCGGATCGCGGCCGGTTCCGCCTTTGTCAGGAGGCCGCCCTCCCTGCGCTCCCTCCGGGCGTGGCTTCAGGCCGTGGGACCCGGGAGCCCGGGAGACTCTGGGCCGTCCCGGCCGGGGCGGGAGGGGTGGCTCCGGGGGGATTTCTGAAAGCAGGTGTCAGCGTCTGCTTGGGACGCCTTGGCTGAAGGCTCTTTGAGGTTTTGTGTGTGTGTGGTGGAATGGCATTAGAAAGGAGTTTTGATTGTTTTGTAGAGTGATGTAGGCCCTGCCTTGTGATCCACGAGTAAACCTTAGATGTGTTTGCAAGTTGACAGGAGAATACTAGCTGTATGTAAACATTCACTGGAAACTCCCATCAAACTGCATACATACTGTCATCCTGTTCTGGATGAAATGTATAATGAATTGGAAAAGTTGAAAAAAAAACCACATTTACTCACCAGCGTTTTTAGTTTCCAGAAGTTTCACTTGCTACCTCTCCTTTGCAGTTTCTTTAGAGAAACTTCCTCCTGTTCTTTCGCATACATTCCCGGACGCAGAGCTTTTCCTGGTCTGTGCTTACAGAAGTTTGAGGCCTCCTTCCTTGTAGAAGGTAGTGGAGGGCAGGGGTTACACGGCCATCGGAGGCTCGGCCCACGTAACGGAGGACCCAGGGCTCTGCCTCACCGAGGGCATTTCCTCCTGTTTCTATTGAGTCAAAGTCTTTTTCTTAAGTAATTTGCTTGGAAATTACTGTTTCGGTACTTTTATTAATTTGATCTCAAATTGGGTTTGCATCTTTTGGTTGGAGGGAGATGCTAAATGTTTTCGTTTTGTAAACTGAGGTTACACGTTGGAACTGTTGTAAAATGGGAAGCGTAGTCAACCGCCCCTCCCTCAGGGCGTTGGCGCTTGCCCCACCCTCTGGACAGAATCCTGACAGTGACCGTATCCAGAGACTCCTCCAGAGCCACTCCCTGCTGGCAGTCATGATTTTGCAGAGCCCCACACTTTGCCTGTTTTTTGGAATTCTAATTTACAAATTAGGAACAGCTTTGCTGGCACATAGCTCTGGTATCTTTAAAACAACAAAAAATCAAAACCATTAATCCCCGTATATGACCATGTTGAAGTAGAAAATTCTAGTTTTTCCCTTACATTTTTGGCTTCTTGTTTTAGCAGACAAGTAGGTAGAGGTATCAGGGGATTCAAAAGTCATGGGAAAAACTTAGTTGAGACCCTTTGGTCTAGTCAAGAATTCTTAACTGTTCTGAGAGCTGATGGTGGTGAGGGAGGAGGGGCAGGTGTCTTAAAATTGAAGCAGAGCTCCCTGCTCAACCCTGCATTCCCCAGGCCGGATCTGCTCAGCCACGTGCTGAGCTGTCCCTAGTGTGAGTGAGGGCCAGACTGGGTCCTGGGGGAAAGTCTTGTGTCCTGGCTTCCTCCCTCCGCTGGAAGGTGTCCAGCCGCTGTGCCCTGAAGACTGGGCAGCCTCCAGGTCTGAGCAAGTTCCCTTTCAGACACTCACTGGCTCCCTGGGTCTCTGCGCTGTGGTCCAGACTGCTCAGCCTTCATGGCTTTGCATCCAACATGTTCCCCAGGCCCGCGTGCACGGGGCTGCCTGAGAGGCCAGTGAGCGCGCCTTACTCATCCTGTATCTTCTGGCTTATTGTGGGTGTGAAATACATTTAAAAAAAAAAGCACCTGGAATAACTAGAGTACCTACTACATGTCAGGAGCTTTACATAATTTAATCCTTTCCCTGGGCAGATAAGGGGAGTATTTCACCAAATGAGAGAAGAGAACTCTCAAAGATAGGGTGACTCGCCTAAGATCCAGAGTGCCTTATCAGGAGAGCCAGGAGTTAAATCTCTATTGATCAAACTCCCAAAGCCTGTCCTTTGTTCTCTGTGCTGGAGGGCTTCAAAAATGCAGCAGTCCTGTGCCAGACTCTTTATGTAACGTGATATGTATGTTCCCCATATGTTATGTAATAGCGCATCCTCCAAAGGTGAGGACACTGAGACCCTCAGGAGGTGGTTGAGAAAACTGTGACCTGTCTCAGGTCACACGATTAGTAATGGGTAGAACGAGCTAGATGGTGCCCTTCACACCGCCCAAGTGCCTCTTGCTTGTTTATACAGGTGCAGTTTTCATGAGCCCCTCATGACCTGATAATGTGTTGTTTTCATAAGCAGTGTAGATAGGTCATTTGTTTCAATTCGCAGAAGCTCCTGTAGCCTCAGCTAATTTAAAAGCTAATGTAAGAAGGTTTGTAGTGTGTAATGCGGCAAGTTGGCAGCTTATATGAGAAGATTTAGAAAATGTTTATTTTCTTTCAGCTGGCGATGTCACTTTTCGGAATTTACCCTTGGGAAATAATCAGAGATGCAGGAAGATGTAATGAATGAGGATGTTCATCTCAGCAGTATTATATATGTCATTTATTTTTATGTAGTACAGGAGAAAGTTGAAAGCAATCTGAACGTCCATCATAGAAATCGGTTAATTAAATATGATATGCCCTAATCGGCATGAGGAATTAATGATAGGCTGCTAAGTGGAAAAAGCAAGTTATAAAACTATACATATGGCCTCATTTTACACACACTCTGGCTGGTCTGATTATAAAATATTTCATTTTTTTAAACTTTAAAAAATATTGTCCAGATTTTCAACAGTGTATTATTTTTGTGGGGGAGGACATAATTAGGTTTATTTATTTAATGACTTTTTAATGGTGGTATTAGGGATTGAACTCAGGACCCTGAGTGTGCTGGGCACTGGCTCTACCACTGAGCTACACCCTCCCCCCTCCAACAATGTATTACTTTTAAAACAGAAAAATGTTAAGTCAAAACCAAACAAAGCAGTACGAGCTTATTCAGCGAATGCCTACATTATTTTAACTACTAACTTTTAAGTAGTTGAAATTATTCTAGCTCTGAGTGGTAGAAGGAAACCAGCCTAAACTTGCCTGTCAGATTTAGCTCATAATCCCTTGGAATCCCTGAAGGGAACTATTACACAATACCTTCACGGAGAGCAGCAACGTTTAACATGTGCACATTGTTAACTGACATAGTAATGGAACGTCCTCTGGCTTCAGACGTCAATTCACATCCTTATGTGACTTCAGTCAGATAACGTGCAGTTTCTTAATCGGAACCATTAAGCTGTAATGTAGCATCATGTACACTCAAATTGAGAAAATGTTTGATTCTGGAAAAGTGAAATCTTTTAGGCAAAAAAGAGATTTTTAAAATAGCTTAAACTCAGTTTTTTGGTCTTGCATACACAACATTAACCAAAACATTTGAAGGCAGACTGAATTAAGTGCCAGGAGTGTGTCTCTTCCGCTGATGCGGAGGAACACGTGGCGCTCCGAAGTCTTTCCTCTGAGGCTGAAGTGCTTGGTGGGATAATCTCTCACAGAGGGTATTTAAACTAGATGGTTCTGCAGGTCTCTTACCCCTAAAGCTTGTGAACCATATTATTGAAGACTTGCTAATATTAAGCTATTAGTCATACAGGCATACCTTACTCTTAGAATATAATTTTTTAAAACTCATGTTAAAAAAGTGTGTTGGTTATATATTATACAAGGACTTTTTTGACAAAAAATTTCTTCATTTGTTTGATTTAACAAAAAATAATTTATATACGTTTTGGAGTTACATGAAGTTATATATGCCTGTAACAAACCTCTTCATCTTTTCTCATTAGACAATAATAAAGTTGTTAAGTATGGGTAAACAAAAAGAAAAAACTTGAAATAATCAGTAATCCTACTACATATAAATAATTACTTTTGGCATATAGTGTGTGTAATCAGGCTATGTATACTATTTTTAAATCTACTTTTTTCTATGTTACTATCATGAATATAGTATAATAGTATATTAAGTCTTATTATCAGTGAGGTTGGGCATCAATTAATGTGTCTGAGTCATTTGTAGTGCCTTTTCTGTGAACAGTCTTTGCTCGTTTTTCTAATGGGTAACAGGCTATTTTCTTAATTGATTTGTAAGATTACTTTATATATTAAGGAAATTAACCCTTTGTCTCTGATGTGAATTACAGTTATTTTTCCCAGTCTGCCATCTTTGCCATTGGTGGTTTTTGCCATGAAGTATTTGTGTGCATGCGTGTGTGTGGAGTTGAATTTTTAAATCTTTTCCTCTAATGCTAGTGGGTTTACTGCTTTTCTTAGAAAGACTTTATCCACTCTGATGTGATTAAAAAATTCTCTTGTGATTTTTTTCTAGTGCATTTATAACTTTTTAATTCAAATATTTGATTCATCTAGAATTCATTCCAGTGCAGTGTATTAGATATAAATCCTACCTTTTTTCCTTTTTTTTTTTTCCTTTCTTTTTTTCCTACTGGGCAACCTATGTGTTCCCATGTCATTGATGAATCTCTATCCACACTTCTTTTGCATGTGTTTGTGTCTTTTTCTGGATTTTCTTATTATATAAAAATCATTTAAAATATGCAAGTCATACACAAATTCAATCTCATGGTAAAAAATTCCATCAATAGTGAAGTGTATAGTTTTAAAAAAGGGCCGTTCGCTTTTCTTCCTCCCGTTCCCTCACACTTTTTCCAAGATAATTATTGTTAGGTCACTGAGTATTCCATTTAGACCTTTTTCTACTACTCGTGTGTATGTATGTATAGACACACATATATATCTATCTGTATGTATCTCACGTGCAGTTTGGGGGTATGGAGATTCTCTATGTATGTCTGTCGATCTGATTACATTACATGTGATATGCTGTCTGTCAGCTGCTTTCTTCCCCACTGACCCTACGTCAGAGTTCCGTGCTAGTCCACGCAGCTCTCCCTCATTGTGAGGGTTTAGCCTCTGCATGGATTCCATAATATGGTTGTATATCACACTTGATTTAACCACTTTCCTGTTGTTACATATCTAAGTAATTTGCAGTTTTTTCCCCCTAATTTTAGCAAGGTAGCAAGGCTGTATATATAGCTTATGAAGTGTGAGGCATTGCTTCTCTTCAGCTCGTGATAACCCTAGCACTAAAATGTTTGTTTATGTGATTGACTTACTGTTGTGCAATTCATGGGGAAGAAAATCTGGACCACACTGAGTGATACGTTATTAATATTTTGTGATGATTGTTTTTCTAGATAAAATTTGATGCCGGGACCCTCCTTCTTAGTACCCACCGACTGATTTGGAGAGATCAGAAAAATCATGTAAGATACAGTTTTTTTGCATTTGTTCTAGATTTTAAGTCACTGAATTTTTCCCCTTTTTTCATTCTTTCTGGTAAAACTATAAACAGACACAGTAAATTTTCATTTTCAGATGTCAGAAGATTGTGTCTTATATGGTCTCTCTGAAAGGGGGTCTGGTCCCTCATTCAGCCCCAGAAAAGTCTGTAGTTCGTGTATAGAGAGTCATGATGACTCCTGGCTTTTAAACACTAATCAGATTCTACCCTACACCTGAGTGTCCCCATCAGCAAGAGGGGCCCTTAAACGTATACATCCTTAAAACCACACATCCTCCCTGAGAGTTGCTGAGAGTCAGGAGGAGCGGTCTGCTGTGAAGTGCGTGCTTTTACCTAAATATTCAGAACCGCCGCTAAGTCACTCAGCAGGAGGAGAACCACTCCATCTTTTCATTTCTAGGAAGAGAGGACAGGTGATGTGTATAGATAGACCTGATATCTTTATTCCAGGGAGCTTTAACTTAAATGTGTGTGTGTGTGTGTGTGTGTGTGTGTGTGTATAAATTTCAGTGTTGTCAGTAAAGTAAGCAATCTCTTCTACGTTATTTTCATAAATGCTATCCCTCCATGAAATATTAATTCCATAGATAAACTATATACTGTACTGAGGCTCTCTGAAAGGTCACTAACCATCACAAAATTTGACTCTTTTTGCCCCCCAAAACCAGTTTTTGTCCCCTTGGTGGTGATATTACCCTTGTGGATAGTGCATGCCTTAGAACTGCTAATGTTATCTAATTATTTTAAATGAAACATACATTCAAGAAAGCAAGCTTTTTTAGAGGGGTAGGTGTCTTTAAACCATATGTTTATAAATTAATCTTAGTATAATTTTTGATTATCATATAAAGGTGCTAATTTAGAAATCCTTAGACCTATTAAATGCCAATCATTTGTAATAATTTTAATAATCAAATATACTAATAAAAGGATGCCACATTAGTATTTTCCGTTAAAAAGTAATTGTGGGTGGGTGAGTGAAGTATAGAAAATTATAAGGAAGAAAAATAGGCCTTATAACACACCCCTTGAAGTTGTTTTGATTTACCTGTTCTACTTTGTTTTCCACATAAGGATATATTGTATGTAAAAACTTTTCATATAAATACTACTTTTTGAAAGATGTACCTCCTGGAAAAACAAAGGTAGTTACAGCTGTTTAAACGCCTTATGTTCTTCCATGCAGTAAAACGCCACCACGGTATTTTTTCATTCAGTGTTTCCTTAAGTTTATGTAAGGAATAAAGTAACATTATTATTTTTTATTGTCTTAATTATTAAGTACCTTAAAGGAAGGTGGCACCCTCTTAAATCTATAAAACAAGGATTCGGACGAGTCTTACGGCTCATGTTTTCTCTTGATCTGCTCCCAGGAATGCTGCATGGCCATTCCGCTTTCCCAAATCGTGTTCATTGAAGAACAGGCAGCTGGAATTGGGAAAAGGTAAGGTCTGTATATGACAGTGTTTAGTCACAAAAACATGTCCAGTCAAGCTGTCATCGTTAACCTGGTTGATTTACTGCTGTCAGTCATTGCCGTGACTGCGTGTGTGGGAGTGAGTCTAATGGTTGTGTTGGGGCTTTGTGAATACTCGTTGTTCAGAGGTTCCCTAAGGAGTACTGGTCCTGGGGGTGGAGAGAAGCAGGTGAGGGAGATTAAGAGGCACAAAAATAATTCCAGTTACAAAAGAAGTGTCACCGGTATGCAAGGTACAGTGTGGGGGATATGATCAGTAACAGTGTGATGTCTTTATGTGGTGACAGAACTAGTCTTATGGTGGTGATCATTTTGAAATGTATAGAAATAGCAAATCACTGTTGTGTAACAGGAACTAACACAGTGTTGTAAGTCAATAATATCAAAAACAAAGGATCAAACTCATACAAAGAGATCAGATTTGTGGTTCCCAGAGGCGAGGTGTGGTGCGGGGGAACTGGGTGAAGGCAGTCAAAAAGTACAAACTTCCAGCTGTAAGATAAATAAGTACTAGGGATGTAATGTACAGTATGATAAATATAATTAACACAGCTCTTTCTGTTATACAAGAAACTTGTTAAGAGAATAAATCTTGAGTTCTCATCACAAGGAAAAAATTTTTTTTCTACTTTAATTTTGTATCTATATGAGACAATAGATGTTGACTAAACCTATTGTAGTAATCATTTCATGATGTATCTAAGTCATATCATTATACTTCTACACCTTAAACTTATATAGTGTTTTATATCAATTATGTCCCAATTACACTGGGGGGAAATAAATATATTTTTAAAAAGAGGTGTTGTCCTACCTTAAACTCATTGATAAATGGAAGTCATTTTTAAAGCGTGAATCAAGTGCTAAGGTTGCTGTAATAGCCTCAGGTCATAATAAATAAATGTGTGCCAACTGTCACTGTATATATTTCCACAGACATTTGCTTTCACAAGTCTGTGTATCTATAATTCAGTACTTAAAATCAGAAATGACCCACCTGAGAAAAATACCTGACTTTGCTCCTATTTCTAGCTGTTCGTTAAGCTTCTCCACTTTGACTTTTTCAGATATCAGTGTTGAATAGGGTATCACAAGGATTGTTGTCCAAACTGGGACATTTATAAGAGTAATAGGGGACAATGTTTATAATTAGACCAGGGCAAGCATAAAACAGGACCACAGGAGATGTGGTCACCCTGGTTTAAAGCCACAGCTTAAAAGGTTTCTGAAAAAAAAAAAAAGGTTTCTGTTTATTCAAGTAGGTTACACATTTTGGCTTTGTATTTTATGTGCATGTAATTATGAACAACTATTGATGATAAGGAATTTTTTTCCAGATGGGGCCATCTTTAGCTTTAGCGTAGTTTATACTTCAATAGAAGTTAAACAAATGTTGAACTTCAGTGGAAGTGCAGTGCCTCCCAATTATAATGTTGTAGCTAGTATAAAATATTGCTTATTTGACATGTAAGAAACAAAGCAACATTTTGAAAAGGTTAATAAGACACAGATTTTTAGAGTAGGCTATTTCTCTAGTTTATATTTTCCCCCTTCTCATGTTTCTCCATCTTATTGAGTTCTTTTTTTTAAATTGAAGTGTAATTGACATGCATTATATTAGTTTCAGGTGTACAACACAATGATTTGATATGTGTATGTATCGCTTTTCTTATTCTACAAACTTTAAGGATGTTCCAGATCATCTGAATTTTCTCTGCTGTGTTTCAAGGAAATCTAAATTCTGTAACAAAAATATTTAAATATTTACCTTCACATTATCGTCTTATTTTTAAACATCTGCAGTGAGGAGGAATTCAATAATATACCAAGTTAACTTTTCTCAAATATTCTTTTTAGCTCCCAGCTCCTCTCCACAATTACCACATCTCATTGATTCAAAGATGTGTGTGTATTTGCATTTTTTAACATCTCTGAACCTCTCTCTTTAAATTCCTGGGTTTTAAACTTGGTGAAATATGGTAATTGAATGAGCCAAGAAAAGAATATATGGAAAAATTAGCATGGATTGTTTTTGATGACTTTGGGATTTTTAAACTTCATTTCGTATAATCTCTTAGCTTTTCGTTGGGTTTCCTTTGACCAATTCTGAGAGTAGGGCTCAGGTTTTTGAGTTTTAAACACTGTAGGTTGTATGGTGCATTTGCTCAGTCATCTGGTCCTGACTGTCATAGTTCTGTTGCTCTACCTGACAGTT